TCAATTGATATTTTATAGTGTGTCTTTTTATGTTGTAATGCTACACTACTGTCTCAGGTTAGGGTGAAGTTTGGCGCCTGTTAAAACGTTTAAACCCGCTGCATTTTTATGCACCTGTCCTAAGTCAGGAGCCTGTTGTTCAGTGGTTGTCGTTTGTTGGTGTGTTTCATAGGTGTTTCTCGTTTCTCATTTTTTTATATAGATTAGACCGTTGGTTTTCCTGTTTGAACTGTTTTACGCTAGTCATTTTGGGGCCCTTCATAACTTGCTGTTCGGTGTGAGCCAAGGCTCCGTGTTGAAGGCCGTACTTTGACCTATAATTGTTAACTTTTTATACATTGTGACTTGGATGGAGAGTTGTCTCATTGGCACTCATACCACATCTTCTTATATATATATATATATATATATATATATATATATATATATATATATATATATATATATATATATAGTTTTGAACGTTGTTTTCAATTTAGACTTGTTTATATTTTTTCGTTTGGGATTGTATTATATTTGCCTTCGGGTTTATATGATCCGTTCATCCTATTTTGACTCCTCAAAATTCAAGAGTCTATCCTAAATTGAGGTAAATTGTATGGCTTTCCAAATACCGTTTCGATTCATAACATCACTGAAGAGACATTAATTGTCGAAATCCGGATATGGTGTACAAAAATCTTTGCACCTTTTGTTTGCGGTATACCATCTTTTCCGCAAGTTTATTGTTTTCTGTTTAGTATTTAATTTATAATTAAGATCCATTTATTACATCGGTGATCCGTTTATTTGGCAATCGCCAATGGCAGTCAGCAGGGTTTAAGAACATTTGTTGTTCGACCTGTTAGTCAAATGCGTTTTGTTAAAATATACTTTTTCACTTTTTTGGTCTTTTGGAAATGTTGTTTGTGCTGTATTTAGACCCCTCTAACAAGAAATTTGTTTTGCATGCACACGTATAAAAATTGCGGTTTTTATCCAACGCAATCTTAGGTTTGAACGTTGTTTTCAATTTAGACTTGGTTGTATATATATATAGGTTTTGAAATTTGATTTAATTTTCCTTGTGAAAGTGCGTTATACAGGTACCTTTAGCCAACTTGGAAAAAAATATTAAGATGAAAACTCAACAAAGATATATATCCGGTATATTATTTAGTAAGTGTGTTTCCTCTGCATACAATATAAACAAGTTGAATGAAAAATATAAATAGTACCATTTTAACTTAAAATGTTCGACTCACTGACTGTTTATAAGTGTAGAAAGTGTAAAAGCTATTACTAATCCGAATTACAAATACAAGTAGAAATAAAAAAAATTGCAGAGTAAACTGCATAAAAACTTTATCAATAATATACGGAGACTGAAATCCCGTAAATTTAAGGTCAATCAAGTCATAATAGATACCGTATATATCTTTCGAATTAATGATTTAACTTCGCTATCATCAACCGTTGGTTTAGCAAATTTCTTGTCAGAAGAAACCTTTCCTTGTGGATTCCCCAGTAGAACTAGAAGCTCTTGAATCTTGTATCCACTATGAGAATTGTAAACACTATATAAGTGTATTTCTCTTAATTCTGCGTCAATTTATCCCTTTCTGCACCCATTGTATAAAAAAAATTTAATCAACGTGTGGTTCGTTTGATCTCAGTTCTTCATTGGTTAAAATCCGATTATGACGTCGAATTTTCTTGCTTTCCTCTGAATTTCCTATTGTGACGGCATGAAAAAAGGCGACCATGCCTGATGACGTCACATAGAAAGAACACATCTTTTTGGAGATCATTCGAAAAGAAGGAATAAATTTGCCTGCGTATTGTTTGAAAATCATTAGAAAAACAGATTCCACCACCAAATCTCGTGTAATACGATATTTATCCACTCTCGACTGTTAAATTTTAAATATTTAAAACGCTCGGCGAGCCTCGCGTTTTAAATTTGAAAATTTAACTGTCTCGAGTGGATAAATATCGTATCACACTCGATGAAGTGGTAGAATCTATATGTGTATGTATATGTATAATTGCTGGTTGAATATCTTTTTTTATAAAAATGGAAAGTTCATAATGAGAAAATTGCAGTCACCTCTTTTATCGGAAATAAAGGGTCTAAATCGATGTTAAGAGTTCTTTCCTCTTTGACCTTTTATATATCGAATAAGATGTGATACATCCTTTTTTTATTTTCTATATCAAAACGAATACAAGTAAAAAAATGTCGTGTGATGTTTTTTTAGACTTCTTCAAACATATAAAATTGATTGATTGATTGTTGTTTGCTTAACGTCCAATTTCAAATATGTCATGCATGTTCAAGACGAGAACAAGTTAACAATAAATACAATAGGTAGGTACTGCAAGTTAGGGTTCAACTGGGATGTAGGGCTGGAAAATGAGGTTATGTTGGATAGGAACAGAAATTTTGTCTTGCAACAGGCCACCTTAGGACCCCTAAGAGAGTTGTGGTAAAGAGTCTTTATCGCGTGAAGAGCCCGACACTCTGTCTCTACTGGGAGCTATCAGATTTAACGGTTCTTTCCGACCAGACGTGGTTGCGTATTTATACATCCCGCATAGCCAAACAAACGTATGACCGTATGTCTATATGTACCCCAGTAAACGGCTTGAGGTCCAAAGTTATGACAGCAACACAACATAAAATCAAGTAGAACTGTGAGCTCACTAATTATACCCCCTCTTAAAATATTCGTTAAACAGGAAGTTGGAGAAATTATCCTGAAAACCTTTTACATGGTAAAGCATGCGTAATATTTCATATTTTTAAAATTGGAAATTTCAAAATAATATGTCATAAATATATTTTGAAATTTCCAATTTACAAAATCGGAAATATAACACATGTTCACATGAAGCCGGGTAAAAAATTTCAGGATGGTCTTATTTGTAGTTCCCTGGAAAATGTGACAAAAATTTCATAGGGGCCCGTATGTATTAGTATACTATTTAAGTATTCGGTAAACAGAAAGTTGATAAGCTATAGGATGCTGACATGACAGCCATGTAACAAATTTCAGGGAGCTCTAATTTGCAGTTCCCTAGAAAAATGTGACGAAAATGTCATACATGTGTTTTATGTATATAATGTAAAAGATTTTTGAAAACACGAATTGCTGAGTGATAATTCTGAAACCACGCCACACAGTAAAAAAGAGAAAACCCGACGAAAATTTCATAAATGGCTATTATGTTTAGAATATAGTATTCGGTGAACAGGAAGTTGATGAGTGATACATCTGACGATATTGCATGCTGACATGAAGCCAAATGACAAATTTCAGGAAGCTCTTTTGTGTAGTTTTTGACAAAAATTCGACGGAATTTTCATGGGACGGACGGACAGACAGGGGTAAAACATTATATTCCCACCCTTCCTTCGGAGCGGGGGTATAATTAACAGATATCGTGTGACAACTTGAAAAGAACAAAACAACAAAAAATGAACGAACAAGGTGATATCCTGTGAAACAAGTAAATAAGATAAAATGAACGAATAAGGCGAAATATTGTGTGACGTCTATAAGATAACTACACGAAATAAACTTACTGAATAAAGAGATGTGTGACGTGCATAAGACAACTAAGAAAAACACAACATAAAACAAATAAACAAATAGATATCGTTTGTCGTCTATAAGACTATAGACAGAATAAACTGAACGAATAAGGTGAGACATCATGTGACGTCTATTGGATACTAGTAACTACAGAACATTAAATGAATGAATAGAGACAGCTACAAGACAATTATACTACATGGAATGAGGATCAAGGTGGTTATAAACATGCACCGAGTGTACACAAATTGTTGGAAATTAAAGCGCGAAAAATTTGATAAGAAAATTGAAAGCAAACTTAATTTCTACGATGTAGAACAACGGATTGAACAAACCAATAATGACAGCCTATGTTCTAACAGTATAATTCGAACAACTGAGGGATAGATGTTTCTAAAGGGGTGTCATCTGACTGTTAATATTGGTCATGAAAAATCGCTTGTAACTTATCTTTCTAGTGAAATCAATACCATACGTTATCATTTCCATTTTTCCTTTTGAAAGTCATTTAAGAAACCTGCTTCATATAAATAAAGAAACCAAATCAAAAAGAACGGTTGATAAGTTGTACCAACTAGAATGCGAGTCGTCTGTTGGAAATACCTCTACCAGTATCAACAAATATGTTCTAAATAGAGTGATTAGGCATTTTGATAGTATGTTTTGTGAGAATCAAATACGGTAAATTGTGGACATAAGTCCGAAATTTATATTTGTACCAGATCAGGTACGGACCCGGCCTCGAAGGAGTGTTGCCAATCGTATACCGCGCGAAAAACATGACAAATTTTCTCAACAAAATGCAAGATGTTATGTCTACGTTTCAATGACACAAAAATTGAAAAATATCCACCTTACGAAGCTTAAAGTTCGACTATCTCCTTTCGAATTCATTACTTGACTAGAGCTTCTTCTCGTACAGTTATATATAGTTACGTCTTTCTCGTACAGCTATTTGATGAGAAATGAGATATAAATCTGATCTTGTCATGAGTATAGAAATAAATTTGCTGTATCCATTCCGTAGTGGTTAAGCTATATGTTCTTTGTTTAGCTACTTTCCCCGTTAGGACTTTTATGATACATTTAACTTTGAGCTTAATGATGTTCAATTATAATAAAAGAATATATATCTAATATTAAAGCTTTGAAATTGACTAAAGTAATGTTCTGCTCCCATAAAGCTATATGAACTTAAGAAATGAAAGCTTTAGACTAGATAAAACTTTAAAGATAAATTTAATGCAGGGATACTTCATGAAAAATGGAATCAATGAAAAGAAATGAACAAATAGGCAACAGTGCATGATTCCATTTACTCAACAGGGAACCAGCATTGAGAGACGATTATCATCATAGATTATTTCTGATAAATTGATAAAGTGTAAATGTTGAAAGGCGGTAAAACATGGAGGCAAGCCATAGCAAAAAAACTTTTATTAATGTTTCTAATATAATTTATAAATTTATAACAAAATTCGGCAGCCCAGCTGTCGTTGTCGTTAGGGTAGATCTACTACCGCGATAGAACAAAATATATTGTAAAAAGGAAAACTATGTATAATAGTAACAATGTGGCCTATACTTCAATTAAAATTAAAACCTGCAGCTCAAACGTAATAATTCACACCTTTAAACCATGTGGCCACTTGAATTTACAGGGCTCAATTTGTAACTTTCAAAACAAATATAAATATAAATATAAACTTAGTTGAAAAGTATGTACATAAGGCGAAGGTGGAATGAATTAAGTTACCAAAAAGAAAAAAAAATTAACTATGATGCAAGATTTATGTTAACATGATGTACAACATAATACAGATATACATGATGTACAACATAATACAGATATAGATACAGCATTACCTCATTATTATTAACTGTCCATAAACTATAAAACTTAAGCCATGATAGCTACCCTCAACAATATAAGTTGGCACTCAATACCTTTATACATCAAGAAAGTTAATTCTCGAATTCATCATGTTTTGTATATAAGAGAGAAATAACAGTCTTCATTGTAAGTATTGACCAATTTTCAATTTCCCACCAAACCGAAACTGCAACTCAAATCTACAGAATTTCATTTTACATGGTACAGTTACAGTACCCCTAATATGTAGGTATAGATATGCAATAATAAATGCATTTAAAAGAAATAATTATTATACATGTACGAAATATAGACTGACTTCATTTCATGGATACTTTAAGGGTTTATGTAATGCATTCGTGTACTGTAGTTAAATGCAACACATACAAGAGCTGATTAAATCTTGATATTGAATCATTTTACATTTAACTTAAAGTTAAAAACAATGAACAAAAAAGATACTACAAATGCTTTGGCATCAAACAAAAGTACAGTGTGTACTATTCTTAAAATATCTAAGCTATTCAATGAAGACTGTTTGAAAACAGTATATCAACACTCAAGATTTTACTCACAAATCTCATTCCATAAAAACATGAACAAAATGTTATTTTTGAGGGAGTTGAGAAAGAACAGCACTGGAGCGTTGACGAAGTTTGTCTTTTGGCATCTGTTCCCAGTGTGTTTACTACTGATAACAAACTGTAGATTGTATGATATTAAAATCATTTCATCAGATAAAAACAGGTTCTGATACTTATCTTATATAAAGATAAGGTAAAATTATTAACTTTGCAAAATGCATTAAGTTTGTTTAACTGTAAAAGCAGAAAAAATGAACTAAAATATGCTGTCACCTGTTTTCGACAGACCATTATCAGTGTGGGACACTTGAAATCGACAGATAAAATTCTTGTTTGCGATAAGATTTCTCAAGAACCAATATTTTCATGTTTCGCCACTAGGAACAACTATGGTTGGTATTGCCTGCACTGATCTGAGGCATATTTACGTAGTGAATTTCATGGGAACCAAAATTTTATTATGAAAATATATAACGGTGCAATTTCCTTAATTCATTATGTACAAGCAAAATTATTATTGAAGGTGTAAAATTTCGTTTCCACTTTTAAAGATCGTATATGAGGTATGCACCTATAAAAAATATAACACTCTAATGAAAGGACAGGGTTCTACAATGATAGGGTAAATAACGCAGGGAAATTTTAAATTATAAGCTCATGTTCAGTCTTTATGAAGATTCCTTGCCACTATCCCCACAAAGTCATTTAGACAAAAAGTTTGACATTGAACGTAAAGTTGAAATTATCAATAAATGCTTCATAAATATGTCACACCACAATGCTACAGGCTAATATACCTTTGTGAATTACCTGTTAAATTAGGATTCAAAGCAATATAAAAATTCTAATTAGTTTTCAATGTACTTAAAAGGTAACGGGCGGCCCCAGGTACCTAATGGTCAAACCAGGAGACACAGTGACTGGGTATGCTCTCTCATTTGTGAATTATTTTTATTTTATTAATGATTTTAAGTAATATTCATGAAATAACTATACATTAAATACAAACGGAAGTTCTTGGGGAATGAGTGTCTTTGCCTGAAGACTCTAGAATGGCTTACACACTTGTAGGAGTAGGGAACGGTCGGTGTAAATAAAAAAAATGCAATAAAAATTATGAAAGGGTTAAAACATTATTAAAGTAATCAAATTATATTAGTAATAAAGATATAAAAATATCATTAACCATCCTAAATGTTTAAATATTGCTTATAAATGTAAACAAGTTCCATCATCATTTTTAATCAACTGCATGGTCCTTCTATTTCACTGGAATTCCATCAATGATGCGAACTTTTCCTTGTGCTCCTGCTTTTCTGCAACTTACGCTTACAATCTGAAAAAAGTGAACAAGTCGTTCATTACTCATGGTAATCGGATAACAATGGTTAATTTTTACCTATCAAAATCTCTTACATAAATTATCTTCATACTGCAAAATTATTTCATATACTGCATGATCTTAAGTCAAGACACGAAAAAGGATGGAACTCTAGTAACCAACAAAAAGACTGGTCGGACATTTTCATATGCTCTTCCTACAGTAACTAAGAAAAATATTTACGACATGTTGACAGGTTCATAACATTGCATGCTAACTTAAAGATCTCTTGCCAATATTTTGATAATTTTGACGAATATACTCAGAGTAAATATACCAAAATTAAGGACCCCATGTTCCGGCAGATCCGAGACATTAAAGATGACTCAGAAAAATCCGAAATATTGTAAGACTGTGTGAAACATCGATTTTATTTGTGATAGCTGTTGAACATTCAGCATTAAAATCTCACCAATTTAAAACAGAATTTAAATATTTAATCCTCATAAATTATTGTTTACTTTAATAAGCATCAAAGTAATAAAACAACTTTTAACACATAATTATGATTTTGACAGCTATCAGTCACGATAGTTGTTCTGACAATATTGCACGGTTATTAGTTCTGAATGTTAAAAGCGGTTTGGGGTGTTTATTGGTTCGCGATTTCGATCGATTGATTTTCATCAATATTGAAAGTGGAAAATTGAGCGTGATTATAATATGTCATATATATTAAGAACCGAGCACAGAACCCGACGCGATCCTGGGTGGTCGTTGTTTACTATTGTATTTAGGAATTCAGCTGAACCAAGAACTTAGGTATTATATCTTTTGCGACTTATAAACTTCAATACATAAATTACAAAATATAGCTGTCAATTATTTTACCGAAATATTGCATTGTAGCAATATTTGAAAAGAACAAAAGTCAATAATAACGAGCTTTTATAAATTTTGACTTGTGTCTATTGTGTGACGACAAGTTTGGTTGGAAAAGACCTGTCAAAGATAACATCTGAATTTAGATGATCTCATTCCCCTTATTATAAATACTTTTAATCTTTTCGTGCATATTATGCATGTTTTCTCAACAAATTATCAAATTTTACTTTTAATTTTGAGAAATTCTACTTTCTACAATAGCACAGCCTTGAAATGTTGAATTATCTTCAAATTTATGAAGAACCATCAATACTTTGACCCGCTACCTTTAGTATATTTGTTTTAATTACTATATTCCACGTACACTGTCTCTGTTTGAAACCATTCTGTATTTTATTAACTGTCTGGCAAAAATTATTTTCGTCCACAGTCGAATATGGTTCTTACCAAAACTATAGTAGCATATCAACTTATCAGTAATAGAAGGTCGAAAGTAAAAAAAAAACATTACAAGGAACCCTAAAAATTATTGCTTAGGCTGGTCTTCAAATAATGAAATACACATTCCACAAGTAGCCAAACAAGATGATTACTCCTTAACAGCACTCATCATTATAAAGCTTTACATCGAACCTATTAGATGTATTAAATAAAGTTTATTTTATTTTGTTTCATTTTATTCTCAATTTTTATTATTTGTAAAACAATTTGAACATTAGGGAATCTAAACCAGTTTTTCCGTAAATAATTAAAAAAAAAAAGGTTTGCCCAGCATGTATATCTATGAGAACGAACTGTTAAATATGAACGCGGATTAATTCTTATTTTTTTAATGTTACATGTCATAAGTACTTAAACATATTAATGTCAATTAACAAAGTTTGTTTTCACTGCGACGTAGTACTTAAAGCTTGACATGAAGCAGGGATGAAATAATATCCCGAAGCAAGGTAACTCTGACACGCAACTAGCTTATATCATTTTAGTCCAAAAACAATAAACTGTTTCGACAGGTCTCTGATTTGTGATGATAAAACATAACATTATCTCTATTACCATCTTCAGTAAATGACCCACAAAGTTTGTGTTGGTTATTTTTAATTAATCTTTGGCACTCTTGTATTTTTATTAACTGTAAGGTGCAATGTAAAGAAACCTTTTTTTCTCTCTCTCTCTTTCACGTCATTACGTGTCATTTGTATTACAGAAATACTATTTTGAAATATTCCAATTTATTCTATTTTCTACTTAAAAATTGGTATTCCCTTTACATATACTTGTTTAAAATCTTTTCTACAAAAACTTTAAACTTAAAAAAAAAAATAAATAAAATAAAATAAACTCTCGAATAGTTTTCATCTTGTCGATGAATAAAAATACATATACCTGGAAGTTGGTTGCATTCATTTATGAACGCGTAGTGTTCTGTTTGTTAAGTCAAAGAATTCACTATTGTTTCTCTTAAGGCCAGACACCTTGGTCTAATCTGTTTTAAATTAAACATTTGTTTTACTTCTGGTCTTATTTTTCACGGAAACTTTAATTATAGGAATGAGATAAATTTCTAAGAGAGCGGCGGACAGCAAAAAAACACATTTTTTTTCTCTCAAGTCTCTAATAAAAACTTTATTTTTTTCTTCAAAAATACCATTGACGATAGACACTAGTAGTGTTTTCAGCATGCAATAATAGGTATTTGCGTGTGGCAAATTTGGGCTGTTGGTTTTAAATGTTATCTTTTGTCAATCTTAAACAGTAAACAATCAACGTTTGTAACCAAATTATAAATACATCTCTTCTTAAATTATTTCACAGGAAACATGCTGAATGGAATAAGAGAAACCTAAGATATCTCGTTATGTTGTAAATCTATAGAAACCCGACAGGTGTACTCGACTCATTGACTCTCAATAGTTCCTCTAGCTTTTGTGACTATTTTTTGTTATTTAAAGAGGACAACGATCTTAATACTCATCATTATAAAGCAAGTCTTAAGTGATACAACGAAACTGCTAAAGTCGCCACTGACCTAGATTAAATTTACCACATTTGCTTCCCTACATAGTAATTATTTAAACCACAACTAATACCAAAGTTTACCCGAAACAATAGGTTATTACACGAATCGTTAACATTTTTAATTATGACTACCCGGTGAACTAAGTATCCAGAAAAATCATTCTCGTTTGTATCCTATTGCCGTTTAAATTGGCAGGTGAATGGGATAACAACTCACTTTTATCAAACTCTGAAGCAAACAAAATTGATCTCCATGTCTCCATTGCTACATGTTAACAAAATCTCATAAAACTGCTACAGGTTATACTTCTTTTCCTCCAAGAAAGTTAAGAAGTTCCTTCATAAAATTTGTCAATATGAATACAAAGGAGATAATGGATCTTGTCTTTGAGACAGCAACATGACAAAGCCAATTTAAAAAAAAAACCGGGTGCCCACTGCTGTATAAAGGTCTTTGCACTGGTTTTTGTCCGACTAAAACAAAATTAACAGACACAGAACATATCTTGAAAAATCTTCTGCTTCAAATACTACAACTAATACTTTGCATAAGAAATGTCAAACTGAATGAGTTTCATAAAAAATACCCTTTTCATAACACTCTTTTGATGAATAATATGAAACAAATGATTCAAAATACAATCAAACTTCCCTACAAACAATCTTTTGTACTAAGGCCAAAATAGGCCTACCCTATTTTTATACTTCTAAAAGTCTACCTTAAACTTTTTACTGACACAGTTGGTACTGAGTCATGACAAAATTGCTGGTAGTCCCCATACAATCAAGGTAAAGAAAATCAGTAATAAAAAAATATCCTACCTACTACCCTATTTTTCTAAACACACATTTTTTTTATTTGGTCTAACTCTAATAATTGTTCCCTTAAAAGATATTCAGCCTTCAACATTCATGACCCATTCCACATGCACACAATCTGTTTCAAGGGAAGATCATAATTTTTACCAATTGTATAAAATACAAATTTTGAGGACTTATTAAAGCCCTTGATTTGAAAGACAGTTTTTTAGAGAGAGAGAAGGCAAGAAAATGAACAATCAACAATACCTAATAGTAATAACATGAATAAATTTGTATGTACAGAAGTGGAAAAGAACAAAGAAATTGATAAATAAATAGCTTTTTATATCTTTGAATTTTTTTATTATCAAAGAAATAGACTTGTGAATATCCATATATATATGATGAAAATCACAAATAACATATTATTACTAAACTGTTAAATACAGGTTTAACAGTCATACTTGTGTAGATCATATTCCCTCATTCAATTCAATAAAAATGGATCAGACTCAAATTGCCAGATTGTGATTTAATGTTTTTTAAACAATAGAGAATGGTCTATAATGAACATTTAAATTAGGGAAATATGGAACTGGAAATTTTTTTAAACATCTTTATAATAAAAGGTGCACTTCTTCAATAGTTTTGCAAATTTTCTGTGATGTTTCAAGATAGAAAACTACAAGAGGTGTCTTTTAAACATTTTGCTGGAAAATGACTAAGTTCCCCTTTCTGTAAAAATGGGGCAAAACTCAACAATTCCATACTAGCAGTGATTAAATGTGACTGCAATCTTTCTATGAAGTTTCAAGAACCTGGGTTATACACTCTAGGGGGAATTAATTACCCAAAATAGGTACCATCTTTTGTAAATCTGCTGCAAAGTGACTAATTTTCAAGTCTGGAAAAAATGGGGAAAAATTCTCAAACATTTCATTATAGCAGTTGCATAACTCAATATGTGTTTAATTTTTTTTGTGAAGTTTCAAGGGTCTGTGTTAAAGATTGTTGTAGTGGATTACACAAAATAGGTAACCATTTTACCAAGTCCCACTGCACAGCATCACCGTACCATACCAAATAGTCAGACAAAATAACAAGTAAACAAAATAAACAAACAAACAAACAAACAAACAAAGCAAAGACATCTATTCAGGTAAACAAATAAATATCAAAAATAATTTTGTTATTCTTTTATTTACTAGTACTCATCTATGGTTATGATTAAAAGTAAACAATATGCCTTTTACTATTATTGTTAGATCTATACTCAATATTTATGGAACTAGATGGAAGTGTTATGAACC